TGCGATTGACCCCTAAAATCCTAACCCTAACCCCTAGCTCTGATACTATGTAAAGGATTAGAAAAGAAAATACTGAATAATTCTTATTTTATTATTGAAATGAGAAGTAGGGATATATATACGTGTGGACGGATTCATATATGCTAACAAACATAAATTATCCTAATTATTTTCTTACTAATTACGATTACATATTTAGAAAGATAATCATATTATTATATATAGAGAATATTCTAGAATATTCTAACATGAAGGAACAAGCCTTTACAAGTAACTAATTGATGCCCTAATCTATATTACCACAACATGAGTGCACTACCATTATAAGAACTAAAACAGGAAAAATTAGAGGATAGGTACTCTTGAATGTGATTAATGGAGAGGATATAGTCTTGAGTTTACTTTAGTATCGTCAATCATCTTCCTCAAACATTGTTTTTGAAATTCAACCATATTTAAATAAAATTTAGCTATAATTCTCAGTGCTTAGAACTGTTTACTAATTGACAGTAAATTGTAATTTAAATGAGGAACATAGAACCCATTACTTACATTTATGTTTTTGGATAAACATACAATGACTATTCCAACCACCTTTAATAGGGACTTGTTTGTAATTCTAATGTAGATTTGTTTTGGCATGAACTATAGGTTTTGAACAATTTTAAATTACCAGCCATGTAATTTAAAGTTCCAGAGTCAATGATCCATGCATTGGTTGAATTTTGGTTATTAGATGAGGTGTTAGTAAATTTTCCTGAGTGGGAAGCAGATCTATTGCCTATTAATAGATTATTTATTTGGTGATTACTCAATAAATTTCTCAAGTAGTTCATATGCTCTTGACTAAAAACCAATTTCTCATTATGTTGCTTGCTTGGTACTTCAGCTTCCACGGCTAGGTTTCTTCTCAACTCTCTTTCTAGATTTCCTTTTGTTTCTTTTCCTCATTGATTTTAATTTTGTTTCCAATTCGAAGGCTTTCTATGAAACTTCCAACAAATCTCCTTTGTGCAGCCGGACTTTCTACAATGATCGCACCATAACTTTCCCATTTTCTGTTTCGTTTCTTGTTTAGGTGGCCTACTGCTTTGACCAGAAAATGTTGAACTTTCAAGAATCTAAGTATGTGTTGGATTTCCGAGTGTAATTTTCTTTCTGCTACACTTCTGCAAATGCTTTATGAGACTAAGACTTGGTTTCAGTCTAATGATTCTTCATCGGACATCATCTACTTTCTTGTTAAGATCGAGAATAAATTTATACAACCTATTCTTCTTGATGATTCTCCAATACTAAAGACTATCTTCTGGGAAGCGCCAGCATTAGTCTTTATACACATCAAATTGTCGCCAGTTCCTTGTCAAGACATTGAAGTATTGAGTCACCGTCAAGTCACCCTGTTGCAAGTCATGAAGTATGTTTTCTATGGCCAAAGAGTTCTAACGAGATATCTATCTTGGAGTACGTTTCACGA